TAATCTTTCACATTCTCTTTCTTTCTTTTTACTTCATTGTCTTGCATTCTGTCTTTCATTTGCTTGCTCATTTTTGGAGAGATTGTGAGCTAAATTTTCTGTTTCACCTGCACAACAATATTAGTCATTTTGAGGTGGCCAGAAAGCGTCTCCACTGTGTGTCCTACCAAAAGGGAAGCCCGTGGCATCTGATTGGAGGTTCAATAGGAGAATTCTCTCCTCTATAGACTGTTGATCTACACAAAAGTCTTGTCTCAGTCCACATTCTGCCAGATCTAGGAACACACAAGAGAGAGAACATAGGACCCAGGCTCTGAAACCAGTGGACATGGGTTCAGAACCCTGCTCTGTCATTTATTAGCTGTGTGTAGCCTTTGGCAGATTGCTGAAACTCCCTGGCTCAGTTTCTTTAGCTATAAATTAGGTGACGATCATGACTACTTTAAGAATCTTGTTACAAAGATAAATGAGTTGCTGATACACGCAAAGCTTTAGTACAGTGCCTGCCATGCAGTGGGCACTCAGTAAGTCCTGGCCATTTCTGTGGGAGGCCCTGTAATTTGGAGGCTCAGAGCGCAAGCTTCAGAGCCAGCTGCCAAGTTTCAAAATCTGGCTCTGCCTCTCAGATAGCTGTGTCTGTGAGGCGAGTTACTGATCTGGTTAAATATGAACTATATGAACTTTGTGAGGATAGACTGTTGACTTACAGAAATGGCAATTTCATAGGGTTCCATCCAGCATATAGGTAATATTCTCTGTGCTTCAGCTTTCTTACCCATTAAACATAGGGGCAACAATCCTATCTGATAGGATTATTGTGGGGATTAAATGAATTAGCAGCCATAAAGTATAGAGGACAGTGCTTGATATGCAGAAAGTGCTATTTGCTATTGTTATTGCTAGTGTATTTGCTATTGTTAAGGTTACTTTTATTACCTTTGCATCTCATTTTGCCTGACAACTTTCCCCAAGAATAGCCTGTTTATTAATTGCTTTCCACTTCTGTCAATCAGCCTTTCTGTGTTACCACCAATGTCCCTCTGCTGCTTGTAGCCTGGTCTCAGTTCATCTGATGGGCCCGCCCAATCCGTTCCTCAGCGTCCACCCTGTCTCCTGGCACCTGTGCACCCACTAATGACCTGAGGCCTTGCGTCAGCTGGCAGCGGTTCCCTGCTGACCTTGTCTTCTGTGTATATTGACCCTGGAGTTGTGAGGGCTCAGGAAGGACGCAACACTTCTTCCACTTTCACTGACTTTTCATGTGATGATTATTTTATAATCTTTAGAAAAATTCCTTATTCAAATGTGAGATTCCTTAGGCTTTCCTATGCTTTTTTTTTTAAAAACAGACTTTTTTTTTTTTTTTTTTTTGAGACAGAGCCTCAAGCTGTCCCCCTGGGTAGAGTGCCGTTGCATTACAGCTCACAGCAACCTCCAACTCCTGGGCTCAAGCGAGTCTCCTGCCTCCGCCTCCCAAGTAGCTGGGACCACAGGCGCCTGCCACAATGCCCGGCTATTTTTTGGTTGCAGCCGTCATTGTTGTTTGGCGGGTCTGGGCTGGGGATTCGAACCTGCCACCTTAGGTGTACGTGGCTGGCGCCTTAGCCGGTTGAGCTATAGGTGCCGAGCCTTTAAAAACAGACTTTAAGAAAACTTAAATAATTTTGTATAGAAAAGTTGCAGAGGCTCGGTGCCTGTGGCTCAAGCAGCTAGGGTGCCAGCCACATACACCTAAGGTGGCGGGTTTGAATCCCCAGCCCGGGCCTGCCAAACAACAATGATGGCTGCAACCAAAAAATGGCCGGGTGTTGTGGTGGGCGCCTGTAGTCCCAGCTACTTGGGAGGCTGAGGCAGGAGACTCGCTTGAGCCCAGGAGTTGGAGGTTGCTGTGAGCGTGATGCCATGGCACTCTACCCAGGGGGATAGCTTGAGGCTCCGTCTCCAAAAGAAAAAAAAAGAAAAGTTGTAGAGATAGCACAGAGAGTTATGGTTCTGTATAACCCTTACTTAGCCAGTCTCCATTAATGTGAAAGCATACTTGCCAAAACTAAGAAATTTATGTTTGTTCATCACCATTTCCACAATACCATTAACCAAATTCCAGACTTGATTCAAATGTTCATGAGTTTTCTGCTAAAATCCTTCCTGATCTCACATTGCACCTAATGTGTCATCTTAGTCTTCTCTAAGGGGTTGTGATGGTTTCTCAGTCCCTTCTTTTTCATGACCTTGATAATCTTGAAAATACTGGCCAGGTATTTTGTAGAATGTTATTCAATTTGAATTTGTTTGGTTTTTTCTTTTTCTTTTTATGATTAGACTGGGGTAATGGACTTGGGAAGGCTATCACAAGGGTATACAATTCTTTTCTCATTGTATCGTATCAGCCCATAAATTATACCAAGATGACTCCTGACTGGTGATATTAAACTCGATAACTTTATGTTATTTAACAAATAGAAATTTGTATCTATAATTCTTAGATGTGAAAGTTACCAAGAGACCATCCAAAGATAGTAAACATCTAGATCCCTAAAATCACAGCACTTGGAAGCACTAAACAGGCTTGTTCCGTTGTTTTTAGTTTTATCAGACCCAACACATCTTTTTCATAATAAATATTTTCTACAGCTTCCTTTTTTCATCTGAAACGAAATTTGTAGATGGTATAATTGCCCTGTACACATAATCACAGGAAAATCAATATGAGGTCCTAATTTTAATATAAAGGGGGAAATAATATTGATTTACAATAAAATAATGATTTCAATATACAAAGATCCCAGGCATGACCATTCCACAAGCCATAGTGAAGTGGTCAGATGCTTACACCTGAATGAAGACGTTCCCTGAGTAAGGTAGACACAGCTGTAGATGAGTATAAGGCTAAAGTACAAGGGGCAGCATTGTCCATGGGGAACAGGTTTCCTAAGATGGTGAACAACCCAGGGGAAAGTTCCAAAGCAAACAAAATACCACCTCCCTCAATTTTCACGGTGGTTTCATTCCTGGAAAAATTTACGGCTTATTAAAAACATGCAAAAATATTGTGCATTTAAAAGTTAAATGGAGTTTGGCTCAGATAATCATAACCAGGTTTTTCACTGATGTGAATGTCCGCTGGGACACTGGGAAGCTGTGTGGATAGAGAACGATGCTTCACTGTGGGAGCGTCCTGTGCACTGCAGGACACACACCTGGCTTGGGCCCTACCTACTCAATGCCAGTGGTGTCCCCCCCAATCAGGGAGGGAAAGCAAAAGCACCCCTCAAATTTCCAAGATAAAATTTCCAAACTCTGGGGGCCATGCTGTGCCCCAGTTGAGGCAGCACTGGTATCATTTAAGTCTAATCAGTTTATTTCAGATCCACATAGCCAGCACATTAGGGCAAACTGAACCTGGAAGTCAGGTTTGCTAGCTTCTAATCTTTAGGGCCTGGTAGGTGTTGAGTCCTCACAAATACCTGGTAAACCTTGGATTGATGCTGAAATGTGGGTTAAACCATGCAATTCATGTTAGCTGCACACACAGACACAAGCATGCACATACATCCGGTCACCACTAATGACACAATCGCCAACTCAGTTCCTGCACAAAATCCTTTATAGATTTCCCATTGAACATAGGAGAGCATTTAAAACCTTACACCAGCCGAAAAGACCATGCACAACCTGGCTCTCATCTGCCTTCCACGCTTTGTTCTGTACCATTTCCTCCCTGCTGGTCTTCACTCAGTTACTGGCAGGAGGAGTTACTCTCTCTACTGCCCCAGGGCCTTGGCACAGACTATCTCCCCTCCCTGGGCTCTTCTCCTACCTTTTGCCTGGCAAACTCCTGCTCATTCTGCATAGCTCTGCTTAAAAGTCATTCCTTCCGAGAGCCTCTCTGAGTCCCCAGTATGTCTCCTTAATAGATGTTCTCATAGCCTTCTGTATTTTCATGATCACCACATACTCATCAGAGCTTTGTTTTAGTACTTATTTGTGTGATAAGTACCGGGTTTGATATCCCATGCCTTTACTATGTTGTGAGCTCCCAGGAGTTCATGGTTTTACTCATCACTAACCCCCCAGTACACAGTACAGTGCTGGGTACAGAGTCAGTTCCAAGTGTTTGCTGAATTCATGAATGGATGAATAATTGGGTTAGCTGCCCGGAATGACTTTCAGGCTGCTTGGAAGGCTGACTCAAAGGGGGAGACACAGTCATGACTTTTCATGAGGAGCAGCAGCATAATACCTTGGTTCTATTTTGCTGTGGAGAGAGAGGGGGATGCTATTTGAGACTGCTGGCTTTGCTTTAGTTGTTTCAATGGGCTTGGTTTTAAATGAAGACGATGGAGTAGAGGTGCCTAGAAGGCGCTTCCCTGTGCAGACCAGTGAGGACTCTGGCATCTGTCTATGTGTCTGGAGCTGGCGTCCCAGCTGGAAGGGTCTGGAAGAAACAAAAGCTTTGCAAACTTTGGCTTTATCAGGCTCCAACCCTCCTGGTGCCTCCACTTCATCCTTCCACTGTCACTTCCAGTAACACCTGATGTCTGAGTAGCCCTTGACATTGTGACTTTTGTTTCACTTTTCCCCAAACTTTGATCTTTGGCCATCACTTTCACTAATTTGGTACATCTGCAAACCACCAGTGCTGTTATTAAGTTTTTCTTTGAATATATCACCACCTGACATTAATGCAGATTTTAGCTTCATCATACATAATTATATGCATGAACTCCTGTATTTCTGGGGCTTCTCTATTCATTTGGGAAGGAATGCTCTTTTTCTTAGCAGAGTTCCTGCGTGGGAAGCACACCGAGGCAGACCTCACTGCTGTCCTCAATCTGTTAAGGATACTGAAGAACAGAGAGTTTCAGGAACTTCCACAAGGTCACCCGGTTTGCAGAGATGACAGAATTGGGATTCAGTGCCTGACTCCTGGCTCTGTCCTGGGCTGTCCCTGTCACACTAACTCAAACCATTCTTTGTTTTTGTTTGCTCCTTTTATTCCATGGGAGAAGGGTGACATGCTGATGTAACAAGGCTGGAGGGAGGCCGTGTCACACAGGTGTGTGAAAACCCAATCATCACACTTATGAACTATAAAAGGATCTAAAGCAAGTCTTAACTGAGTTCGCCACCCGCAGTGAACACTCCACAACCATGGACTGGTATGGGATTAATAATGACTCCCAGAAGCAAACACGTCCATAACATTTCTTTCCCGGAGCATGTTATATCCCATGTGGTGTTGCTGACATCTCAGGGCTAACGCTTTTTAGCTGCCTCTTCCCAATTTGTAATCTTCTGACCCACCTACAGGCCGTGTCTCATTTGCAAATGCTCCGTTCTTGTTTGCATGTCTAAGATGCTCACAGTTTCCGTGATGGATGCCATCCTGACATACTTGTGGAGACAGATGACTCTCCTCTCAGGAGGTACAATGTATTTTTCATGCTACAGAGTTTAACTCATTCATGATGGGTATTTGTGAGACTATCCAAGGTGTCCCTATCTCAGTGCCATAGAAACCCTTCTGAGCAGCTGCAGGATGGCTCCCTTCTTGATTTTGGAAACCACTGGCTTCCGAGAGATTCTCTACTCTCCCTCTACCCTACTATGTTCTTTCATAAATAGGTGCAGAGTTGCTAATTCTGTCCTTAAATCCAGTCCTAATTTAAAATTAAGACACATTGAAGGCAAGCATTCCACCATGGCGTCTCACACCAACCTGAGCTGCTGTGGATCTTACACACCAGTCCCCCGATGTTCTTTCTGATCCCAATCGAACACTTCAAAATCATTCTTACTACATGGCCTTTGCCCTTGCTGGTCTCTCTGGAATGCTCTTCCCCCACCAATTTTCATTTTTCACATTTCAACTCAATGTTATCTCATCAAGACCTTTCGCTGACCATCCTAAGATTGTACCCTCAGCTCCTCATCCCAGTAACTCCCTATCCTGCTAGTTGGATTTATTTTCTTCCTGGAAGATTTTTCTGCCCCAAAGTGTGTTGTTTATTTATTTACTTATTGTCTTTCTCTTTCCCGGCCCTTTCCCTCCTTCCCAGGGGACTGTAACTGCCATGAATGGAATGCCAAGGCCTCTGTTGGTTACCATTTTCTCTCTCTTGTCCCGTAGGGTGCTTGGTTAGTGGTTGTTAAGTAAATAAATGCACGAGATGGTCCAGGGCCTGCAGTGGGGCGCAGGGAAAAGAGCAAGTCTCTGGAATCAGAGGGAAGCTGCCTTCTATTATAACGCAGAAGGCGAGGAGCAGGGGCCCAGGAGTCAGATGGGCCTGGGTTCCATGCAGCCTCTGCTGCCTCCTGGCTGAGTGCCATGAACAAGTTCTTTCTCCTCGGCTCTCTATGTCCATCAGCAGTAAATCAGGACTAATGAGTCACCATATGTCACGTGCCTGGCTCCGTGCCAGTCACTGTAATAGGATTTTAACAAATGCTAATTGACTTTCTTTCCCTAGAAATGTCAGAAGAAACTCATGCAACCCAAGACACAGCCTTTGGAACACACTTGATAGTTAATAGAGAACTCAGGCCTCCCGCCTTCAGCACGATCTGCTTATATGTACAACTGCGGTACGCTTTGCAGAAAGCGGTGACATTTCCAGCGCTGGGCTACCTTCTGTAGACTTCTCACAGGGTGTATAATCTTAAATCCAGTCTTTTAGTGCCTGGCCTGTTTGATGGCAGTGTCCGCCCCCTGTATATTCAATTACTTGGTACAGAATGGAGCCTCACGGCCACATATAGCTCCTTCGGTGGCTGAACATTATGTTCCTCAGGTGGCCGAAGTGACTTTGAAGTACTTGTCAGCCACTGGCTTCTCTGTAACAGTACTGTAACCACTCAGTTCACAGTGACATTTTACTTCTGAAGCCCTTGTTCAGAATATTAAAAAGGGCAGGCTGCGACTTCATCCCTTTGCCTTGGGGACTGTGATTTTGTTAAGCTAGCCAGTGGTCTACTCGGGAGAGAGACGCTGGCTCCGGTGAAGGTTTAAATACTGTTTTGAATCTGGCCCAGTGGTGTTAAAAACTGTTTTGAATTTGGCCCCCTGGGGTTCAGTTGCTAGGTAAACATCATAACCATGGAGTCCACTCCATTCCAGCTGAGGAGCCAGAGTGAGTGACCGGGTTCGCCAGGCTATCTGAGATCACTCGGGCCACTGTCTTTGTCAGTGAATGATGGTGCTTTTCTATAAGAAAACAAGAAAAAGGGAAAAAAGGAAAAAAAAGACTGGTGTCTCTGAGATGCAAACCGGGAAGGGGAGTTTTAAAGTTTGCTGGACTTCACTTGGGTCAGGAAATTATTTATGAATTGTGATGGACAGGTGAAGGGCCCTGGTTCTTCTCATTCTTGGTAGTAATGATAGCGATAGCTGGATTTATTCTATCTGAAACTGGTGTCAAGAGAATGCGACAGGACCTATTGGTGTTGGTCACATTGACTATGCAGACATCATCATTGCCTGACATCCTAACTTGGTCTTTGGTCCGAAGAGAGGTGAGCCAGGCAGAGGGAGACAGTGCAGGGCTCTGAACGGACGGCCAGACGGGGACCTGCGAGACTCTGCCCAGCTTCCCTTTGTAAGGATGTGGGGCATTTGCAGATCTGCCCGTGGGACATTTTACATGTCAAGGCAACTGTACTGTGACTTTTTTTTTGAGAAGCAACAATAAGGAGTTGAATTCTGGATCACTGGACAGGTCAGGTTTCCTTGCTGTCAACACACTGACATTTGGGTTGCTCGCATCTGTCTGGAGAGGCCGTCCCATGGGCCATAGGATGTTGAGCAGCATCCTGGCCACTGGCATCCTGCAAGCTGGACAACCTGGCAATGCCACATGTGTCCTTGCTGGGTAGAAGGTGGGGGTGAGGGTGGGGCGAACAATTGCCCCTGGCTGAGAACCAGTAGGGCAGACCTTCACTGGGACAGATTATTTTGTGGTCACCATAAAGTCTCTTGAGAGTATTCCACTTTCTCTTATCCATCCTGGGGCCTTCCAGACCTTTGAATCTTTTGGAAAATAGATTTTTAATGTGGATGAACTAATGATAAACAGGGAAAAGGTGAGAGAGGATGGGATGTGGGTGCATTAACTCCTCTCCTCTCTCTTCCTTTCTCTCCTCCACACCTCTGTTAGTCTCTAGAAAGGGAGAGATGGTGTGGAGAGGAGGAGGAAGCTGGCTGCAGTTAGGAAGAGCCTGGCTGCAGCTTTGTGCTGTGGACTGAACCAGGAGAGCCTGAGGCTGGAAGAACTTCAGGTAGCCCTGATGTTCAAGTTCAGGCAGCAGCAGCTTCCTGCAGGCCGTGTAGATGATGGCGTTCAGAGGCAAGCTGGGCATCTGCCAGGACCCTTGGCAAAAGTGCAACGTAGGCAAAGTTGTTTCTGCCACCACGTCTGTTTCTGAGAACTCTTCGTGCCCTGTCTCCCTTTCCCTGCTCTCCAGACAGTCAGTGGCCTCCGGTGGCCTCTGGGTGCTCCAAGTCCACCTCCTCTAGGCTGAGCCATCAGCTTCCACATTACCATTACCCGCCCCCATTCCAAAGCTCCTTCCCTGGATGCTGATTTCAGCTATTTGGGGGGTTAAGAGAAAGGCTTCTAAGACTTCACTAAGGGGAGAAGAGTCAGCAAGTTTAACCTGTGCAGGGATGTTTTAACTCTTGGAAGAGAAGCTTGTTATTCCTCTTCCACAAGATGTTTTGGGACAAAAGGCTTTTCTATGGCTGAGATAGTTTCCCTGAAGTGTTTTTTCCAGCCACAATCTCTGCACTCCTTGGTCACGCCTATGAATTCCATAAATTAGACCTGTCACTGAGAAAGGGATTGTACATGAGGTGAGTTGCAACTTTCCCATAAGAAAAGATCCAAATCCCTTAGCCTGGCACACAAAGCCCTTTATAAGAATTTGCCTTCTGAACCTCTTCTCCATTCATTCCCTCAAATAATGAGGGAATGGAAAAAGATGGATGGAAAAGTGCAAAAGATGGATGCAGACTTTGACTCCAGCCCCTCCCACAGATATATGTAGTCAAGTGGCCAGTGGGGGGAAACACATAAGAAACCAGCCAATGACAATATGGTGTCGCATGTTAACCCTGGGTGGGTATGGTAAGCTTGGGAGCACCTTGAATGTGGAACTGACCTGGGGGGATCACTGCTGGCTGGCCCAGGGAAGAAGTCCCACATGCTACACTGGGCATGTCCCCTCATGCCTTTGAATGTTACCGTGGAATGCCCTCTCATTATCTGTCTGAAAAACTTTTAATGTCCTTTATGATCCAGCTTAACTGTGACCCCCAGGAGACGTTCTCTGACCACATTTTGCCTCCTCTTGCTTTTCTCTGCTTTGCCACATCTCCCCCTGCCTTACTGCCAAATTTAAGTGTGTTTTTCCCTTTGAGCTAAGTCTTTATACGTCACCTCTATGGAAATACACTTGTCTCACACTGGTTTGTTATTTACTTGTCAATCTTCTCCAGTAACTTTCTTAAAACCCTAGGTAATAAAGTATGTCTCTGTTCAATCCACAGCTCCTAGCCCAGTGTCTGGCACACAGAAGTGCTTAGCAAATGTCACTGAATGACTGAGCCTATTCAAACTGGAATCTGGAAAATGCAATAGCGGGATGTCTCCTTTACTCATTTTTGTATTAGGTTGTAAGATATATATACCAAAGCCTTCAAAAGACATATATGTCTGGTACAAAATGAAAACTCACATAACCACAGCCTGGGTCAAGAAGTAGCTCCTTCTATTCTTAACTCATCACCGGACGTCATATACTTGAATTGAGTTTGTCACTAAGATGAAGACTCAACATTCTTCATCTGACCTGAAGTTATTGGGGTCTTCTCCCAAGCCAGTACTCATCTTGAACCTTAGGCCTGATATTCTAGATGCCAAATATTTGGCTGAAAGCCAACTAAGTCAGCAGCACATCAGTTGGCAGGCATGGCCTGAAATCTAGCTGCGGGGAACTATTTGCTCCACTGGACAGTATCTTGCAAAGGATCTTGAGCTCCTTCCTTCTATATATGGAGGTTGTGGGCTTACTTGGACTCTGCCACATCTAAGGAAAAACAGTGA